ATTGAGATGTTAGTTAATTAATTTCATTTACTTTTAATTCTATTCTATCTATTCTAGTATTTTGATTTGACAAACATAATCGCTCTGATTTACTTACTATGGGAGGAGGAAAAGCTTTATCTAATCACTGTAATGCTTCTTTTCTAGTAAAATTTGATCATCTAGAATATATAAAGGTAATATTTCAGTTAATTTCTATCATAAAAATGAAATAACATAAGAGCTCAGTAGAAGAATGATAAAATAAATATGAATCAATTCAATTAGCTTGCAATATATTATTTTATGTAAATGCATAATGTATCAATCAAATAAATATAATATATATCAACAAACCAATGATTAACATCAATTATGATTATATTACTCAAAATGAAACTGCTTTCCAATAATATTCATTGGCAATCAATCATCAACATCCTAACCAATCATTCTTTAGTATAATTACATTCGAATATTAACTATACATATTGGCAATCGATTGCAAATCACTTCAATTAGCAATCAATTATTAATACCCCAACTGATTAACATTGATCATGATTACAAACGATTGCAAACTATTCTTGTTGAAAATTGATTACCAATCATGTACATTGGCAATCGAGCATCAACAACTCACTAATTAGTAATGATTGTGATTGCAATTGATTGTAATCAATTCTCGCTAGTAATCAATTAGCTATCTTATATATTGGCAATCAATTATCAACACCCCACCGATTGGTATCGATCGTGATTGCAATTAGTTGCGAATGGAACTCATTAATAATTAATTGCTGACAATTTTCATTGGTAATCAATCATTAACACACCATCATTTTCTATCGTTAGCGGTTGTAATTGATTGTTAATGATGTTCTTTGATGATTTTTGAACACAATCAATTGTCAACAATTATAATCAATTTTAATCACTGACAATCAATTGTAATCCCTATCGATGATGAATAATGGGGGTGTTAATAATCAATTGTCAATGAACATGATTATAAATCAATTGCCAATGGGTATAGAAATCTCCTGATAAATGCTTGAAGTATTATATATTTAACTACACTATTTATAATCTTTCATCTATTATTATTAATATATATTATCATAATTATTCTGATTAAATAATTTATTATAATATTATAGACTCTCTCTTATATAACTTCAAGACAACCTAAAATAAAAATAGTATTAATATTCTTTAGCAACTTGGTTAAATATTTAATATAGTGTAGTAAATAAATATAATTATTATAATATATATTTTTAATAATAATAATTAAATAATAAATATTTTATTAAAGATATTTTATTTAAATCATTAATTAAACTAATTACAATAATTTATTATATTAAATCTAATTAATTATAACTTATTTTTCTATAGTTACAAGATTAACTATATTTATATATACTTTTAAAATTAAATTTTAAATAAGTTAATTTTGATAAGAATAAATTAATTTTTAGTCTAAAATAATTTAATACAAATTAATCTAATTAAAAAATAATAAATTATATTTAAATTAAATAAATTATATTAAATTCAATAAATTATAAAAATTATATGAATTATATAGATTATGCAAATTATAAATTATGAAATTATATAAATTATGAAATTATAAGAATTATAAGAATTTATAATAATAAATAATAATAAATTGCATGTAAAATCACATATAAAAAATCACATATTTAAATTATATATAAAATTACATGCAGAAATCACATGTTTAAGTTAAATATAAAAGTCACATAATTTCAAATTCATCCAATATAAATATAATAAATTAAATAATTAAATAATAAATAATTAAATTACAGCTATTTCTCTTTATAAAAACATAATTAAATTATAAAAATTGGTTTTTATAAAGAGTTTGTTTTTATAAAGAAATTATTTTTATTATTAATATTAATTATTCAGTTTTCAAAATTGTATTCCTATAGAAAGATATTCTTATATAACATATTCTTATATAAAGGAATAAATATAATTAAATTAAATTAAATAATAAAAAATATCAAATATAATAAAATGATTAGTTATTAATAAAATAACTATATTATAGAATATTTTAATTATAATATATATATATTTATTAATAAAATTAAAAACTTTTATACAAGACAAAAATTTTAATTTTTATTATATTTATTAAGTTATTATATAATAAAAATTGAATTATTTTTATATTAAAAATTCTTATTTATTAATAAATATTTAAATAATTATAAAAAATATTTTTATAATTAAATTTGATAAAATCTATATTGTAAAAATATTTTTACAATTATTTTGCAAACAAAAATATTCTTCAAATTAATTCAAGAAAAATATATTATATATATATTAATATATAAATTATAATTTTTATTTTAATTAATATAAAAAAAAAATAAAATAGAAATTTTCAATACAAAAAACTAATTATATTTCTTTTAATTTATTGAAAAAATTTTTAATTGCAAAAACTATTTTAACAATTGTTCCAGTCCAATAAAATCACATTATAATCATGTGATTTTTCCATTAAAGATTCGTTACACTCGTCTTTATTGGCTAAATTAATAATCAATGAGTTACGAACTTGCTATAGCATAATTTAATCATATTATCTGTATTGATGTATAGTTCCCACAAGTCTTGTTCATTTTTTCGATTAAATTTAGATATATAACTCGAAAATTTCCACTTTTATGTTTTATTAGACCGGGCGATACTTTTTGGGGGATACTGTACGTAATCATTTAGTTCAATGAAAATTATTTTTGTAATATTAGATCATTTTGGATATATTTCCGAAAACTTTGTTATTTAAATCAAGAAAAAAAGAACCATCAATTATTGATGACATATGAAATTTAGCATATATTCATGAAATTACTCCATGATCCGAGAGATAAATACAACCGCTATTGTGTTTTTCAAAGCGTATTCCTTTCTTTTTGACAGGATAAATAAAAATTTCGGCGGGCCAGTTTCGGGGGGGGGGGTCAACAATAATAATAATATGAGACTTTTTAACATCATTCTTTATTGATAAGAGATCAAAAAAGAAAGATCTTTGCCCTCTTATTGTAAAAGAAGACCATACACAATAAACAAAACCAGAAATGGTATCATTCAATGAACAAAATAAAAAGAATCAATAATAGTAAAAATGGCGAAGATAAGGCGGCGGTTCGGCACCCTTTTTTGTTATTTCCGTTTTTTATTATTTCCGTTTTTTATTCATTTATTTTATCTTAAAAGTTTACCACGGCAAAAAGTCTTCCTTTTACCCTTACATTGAGAACTACTACACCATCTTTGATAACGAAAGCCAAACTAATAATAAATAAACATTTTTCTCGAAAAGATCTTGACGAATACTTACTTATTCTTTTTCTTCCTATTGATTCATTATGTTCAAAGAAAGTGAAGTGATAATCCCACGGGGGGATAAGGGGAAAAAAATGCACTAAATATATAATTTTCAGGTTGGGTTTCACAATAATGTTACATTAATTAAAGTGTGGATTAAGCAGATACAAACACAACAGCATGCATTATTTACCTCCATTCAATATTTGTTTTGTAAGTGGGCGCATAATATATGTCAATGCAATTATAAATTTGATCGAAACAAAATTTACACAGCAAGACAATGATGCCAAATGAACACTGAAGAAAATTTTGATTAGATCTTAAAAGTATGACTGCGGAACGGATTACGGGAAATAAAGTGCCGGTTTGTTTTTGTTTATTCAATTTATCATTATTGTTTCTTTTTCCGTAGCAATAAACGCTTTACGCCACACTTGCATTTCTGAATTAGCATTTTCTAAGAAACAATCTAAAAGATTATTACTAATATTACTTCATGCAAAGGAAAATACATAAAAAAGTCATCGATCAGCTATTTTTTATAAGTATTTTTATTGTTGTGATGTAATGACCCGAAACTTTTTTTTACATTTTTGGTCGTTACAAATCATCTTTTTTTTTTGTCAACAACTAATAATTCTACAAAATATTTTTTAAAGGAATCTGAAATTGTCCATAAAACAGAAAAAAATATGTGATAGATGATTTATAGTGTGTGTGTATGTGTGTATGTATATATGTATGTATATATATAATATGTATGTATTATATAAAGTTTTATATGTGAGGATGATTAAAATATAAAACTTTGTGATTGTGAATTATAAAATGACGTGAAGATAATTGATTCATTGATGAATGAATTTAAAGGTATATCGATGTTATTATATGTACTAGTATTTTAATGGTAATGCGTGAAAGAGATCTTAGTATCGATATATTTCGTGCATTATTAAAGATCCCATCAACGTGAAGAAACAAAACTAATAACGGCAAAGAATCTCCCATCACTTTGAAGTTTTCTCGCGTTTTATCCGATTATTTAAATACATACATATATATAAATATACATTATATATACATATATATTATATAATAGGAATACATTATTATTCTATAAAGGGAATATCAACCATAGAAAACAATAACAATAATAATTATCAAATAAAAAACAAACTTACAAAGGGAAAAGAAAAAAATCATCTAGACTGAATAAAAACCTTTTTGAATTTTTCCCGCTTTTAATTTTTACCATTTTACACTATTTATAAAAATATATATATATACGTATGCAATCACATCTGTAGTGCCTCACATAAAAAAAATCCTAATCTCTTTCTCATACTCTGATAACACGAAATCTGTAGTAGTAATGTAGTTGTGAGGAAGGATAAAAAGAAATTTTTATAAAATTGAGATTTGGATGAAAAATAGAATTAATTGTCCATCATATATTTTATATATATGTGTAGATATATTTAGATCTATATCCAAAATATATACGCTATATATACAAAACCATATTCTTATAAAAAGTTGAAGAAAAGCGCAAATTGTTCGTGTTATTTTTTAAAGGAGAGAATTTGATGAGGATTTGATAATTAATTGATCAAACGAATGTTGACAATTCCTGTTTAAATCGGCGATAAATTGGTATTCATAAGATGTCCAGCGGATAATGATGCTGTCTTTGCGACGTTAGCTGCAACGGCTTCCGTGGCTTTTCTTTCTTCCTCCTCGCGCTTCTGCCGACGCCATTGTTTTCGCAGTTCTTTGAATTCTATATTGTTTTTTTAATCAATTTATAAATACAAAAAATCTAAAACACGCGTATTCAGATTACGTGTGAATACAAGACTTACCAGATGGATGACGCTTAGGACCATGTCTCTGCATTTGAACATGCGCGTTCAGGTGATTAAGAGTACCATAAGCTTTTGTACATCCTTCATAGTTACACGCGTAATGACGTTCAATTTCATCGTATCTTCTTCGAGGTCTTTTCTTTGTGTTGATTCCTGCTAAAGATACAAAAGAGTACACTTTTTGAGGACGATCCATAGAAGAAGATAATTTTGCAGTATCACTTGGTTCATCTGAGCGTCGACGATTGATCATTCGTTGTTGATGAGGTGACGACTGTTGTTGCTGCTGCGATAATATTGAATTAGCAGGGGCCAAGAAATGACCATTAATCAATGCGGCTTGTGAAGCGGCAGCCTGTGAATGATAGGCGAGGGTGGTCGTCGTGGTGCTATTCGTGGCTCCTCCGTTTTGATTAATAAGTGACGAATCACCTATTGAATTCGAAATAGAATTATCATTAATGTTTATAGCAATGGCAGTATTATTAATAGTAAAGATCGAGGAATTAATTCTACCAGAAGTAGCATCAATCAATGGCTGAATTTCATTTGATCCGGTTGTAGATTGCACAATCGGAGGTAACGTACACGGATCAACCACTGAAACAAGCTGTGATTGTTGCTGATTTAGGGCCACTTGTTGCTGCTGTTGTTGTTGCGAGATTACTTGCTGGACGGCTTGTTGCTGCTGTTGTTGATTGATGGCCTGTTGTAGAGAATTAGCCTGATTTGCATAAATTCCTTCAGCAGCTGCGTAACCATCATATTGCATTGATTGGTAAAAACCCGCAGGTACTGATTGAGTTGAACTCATATTTAATGATAATGTATTTGCGACAGATGATGGATTTTGAAGTGTAGATATTACTTGATTTGGTGGTGATGAATTAGGAGACGAATTATTATTACTATTATTGCTAGTAAGTTGTTGTTGTTGCTGCTGCTGCTGCTTTTGCTGTTTCTGTTTCTGTTTTTTCTGATGCTGTAAGACTTCGGATAGTGGAGGGAGCATATTAACCATTGAATTAGAACCGGCTGCTATTGATGATGGATTATTATCAGTAGACGACATATTCGATGATTGATTTGTATTATTATTATTACTGTTATTGTTATTATTATTAGTGCTATTGTTGGGAGAGGCGGTGATATTGCTAATTAAATTTGACGAATTTTGATGTTGCTGTGGTTGCTGATAATAAGTGTTCGAATCAATTGCAAAAGAATTATTATCGGGAGTTGGTGGATTACGAGATAAAGAAGAAGTCGAAGAAGATCGCGAATGGGCCGCAACTGCGGCAACTGCTGCGTACTGTTGTTGATTATTAACTTCGGTTGGATACACGTAAGGTTGAGACGGAAGTTGTTGTTGATGAGAAATGTGCGTTTGTTGTTGATGATATCGAGTATTATTTGTTTGATACATTGAGGCGGGAATAGTTTGTGGTGCGATTGCAGAGTAATTCGCAATCGTAGCGTTGTTAATTTCGAGGCTCCTGTTGTTTGTGTTGAAACCGTTGTGAATATCGTTAGGAACGGATTGTAAAACAATCATTGAAAATAAGCAAGTTGTTGTTTATAAAGGGAAAGAATAAAATTGATATGATAAACTTTTCGATTGTTTTTTCTTTTTAATGTGATTATTGGAAAAATAAGGAAACACGAGTTCCGAAAAGACTAAAAAGGGGGAAAACAATATTGAAATTTTTATATTCGATATTTTTTTTGTTGGATGACTTAATAAAAAAGAGTAATACTATATATAAAATATATATGGACTAAAGAGGTAGTAATTACGAAATGTAGAAAAGTCGAAGAAAAACCTAAGGTATACTTTTGCTTGCTTGTTTTGCTTCTGATTAGACTGATTTCTAGCTGCAGTAAAAGTAGAATTCACCAGAGCAGAGTTGGAATTCAGTTGAACAAGTCACCACTACACACGAGAAATATTTATTTATATATATAATGAAAATAAATGATATAAATTGAAGAGATAGTATATTATTTAAACTGTAGTGTATATTTAATGTTGATGGCTGAATAATATATACATATATATACACACATATATATATATATATATTTGTATAAACGATCCAAAGATATCGTAATAATTACACACTGACTACTCGCATCAACACAACGAGTTGTGGTAGAGTAATAAGGGCAAGACACAATGAAAAATCGAATAATGCGAAAAATAAAGCGAGTGCGATGATGAAGGAAAAGTCAGGAAAAGTAGCGATAAGGAACAGAGAGAAGAGAGAAAAGGGCTGTGGTTTAACAATCTGTTTCAAATTTCAAAAAAAAAATAAATAATAATAAATAAATAAATTAATCAATCCAATCAATCAGTCAGTCAATCAATCAATCAATCAATATAAATAATCGGGGTTTAAAAAATGGGGTTCAGTCTGATTCTTATGATGAGAAAGATGACGGTGATAATTTTTGTGTTGCAGTTGTTGTTTGTATATTGGGGATTTTCTGAAAAGAGTAATAATAATCAACATCAAAAATTATCCCTTTTACTATGCTAATAAACAGAATAATTTAAAAAAGAACTAACGCTAACTGTTTTTTATCGTATGAATTTACTATATTTCCTTTAATCATTCAAAAGAAAAGAAATGGCCAACTTTTAAATTTTCTTACTTTCTTTTTGATCAATAATTACCTCGCTTTATAGATCAATCAATTATTATTATTATTATTATTATTATTATTGGTTAATATACTCATGAATGAATGAATTATTTATTTATTATCAGCGATAAGTGTATGTAAATTTTCAACAAGAAATAATGATATACACACACCCTTATAATAAATCTATATATGATGACACTATGACGGTAATGAACTAGATATGTAATAATGTTGTAATGTTGCTTTTCCCTTTTTGGTGCGGGGACAGAGTCCGGGACCGGGTAATTTTTACTGTAAGCAGGTTCTCTTTATTATTATTATTATTATTATTATTATTATTATTATTATTATTATTATTATTATTATTTATTTATTTATTTATTTATTTATTTATTAATTTATTAATTTATTTATTAATTTATTTATTAATTTATTATATTATCATCATCATCATCATAGATATTTTTGTATTGTTGCATTAAAAAAAGATTATTTATATATCAATTGTTAATAGAAATCAAAAATTTAGGTGAAATTAATTTAATACCTTATTGAAATAAATAACAATAATAAATAATGATCAAGAACTTTAAATTTCCCAGATATTTTTTTCCTCGTAATTATTATTATTATCACAAGACATTTGAATATCATCGATGTTTTGTTCAATATTCCATTATCCATCAAAATAGGTAAGTTGTGGCAAGACAAAGGCTTTCACATAAAGTCTCATGTTTGTCATAGTGTAATATCTATCTATGAAATATAATTGTCCTGGAGTCGGGTAGCGGTAGTTAGTAGTTGACATAATTGGATGTGATCGGGTGCATTAGAAGTTGATCTTTATTATGTGTCACTTTAATATACGTATATATAGATTTTGATATGATAAACGCAAAGTTGTAGAATTAAACAATGCCAAATGTCAAAAAATTCCTAACCCATAAATAAAGGATGAGAAAGTGAGAAACGAGAGAAGATGTAATGTTTGGATTGCGCCATTCATCAATCTTCTTTAATCCTATTGCAAACAACAGATTAACGAAAATTTTGTGGGACGAGACGAGTTCACTGAACATTTTTAATTTATCACAAGTGTCGCATGAGTTGTGTTGGTGTTATGTAATGTAATGTAATGTAATCTTTGAGATACAAACGAGATTACAGATACAGTTGCTGTTGCCGTTTCTCATTTATTCAAATAATGTTGAAAAAAATGCAAGAATTTGTGTTTCCCTAAATTTGGTCGGTATTGAGAAAGTTAGGTAGCGAACTAATCTTTTTAAGAATATTTAATAATAAACATCATCATTTGGCATTATTATATTTGTACAACAAAAATATATTTGTCCCGCCGAGAATCAGTGAGTTTTAGAGAATTATCTGATAACCTAAATTCATCAAGCATTTTCTCCTGCAGTAGTCTATTAACCTCTCGCATTAATTTTTTTACTTGTTATGTACGTATTGACGCAACTAACATCGTGATGCGAAAATTACGACTCCCAGAATTCGAATCTTTTAATTTTCTGGTGTTACTTATTCGAAGGATATTTTGAGTGAAGTCACAGAAACATACATTGTGACGTTTTATGACTAACTAAAAAAGTTATAAATAACAGGCGATCATCTTCCCGAATTCAAGTCTCTTCGCTTTCGATACAAAATGAGCACAAATTCAATAAAAAATAACGTGTCAACCCAAAAACAAAATTCACCAGCATTAAATAATAGTTTGAAGAAAAAGAATCAACAAGAGGAGCAAGAAAAACGAGAAACAGCAAAACCAACAAAAACCAATAGTGTAATAGATGAAATATTTGCCACAAAAATCACGAAGCATCCAAATAATAGCCTTAACTCACAAAAAGCAGAAATTTCGCCACAATTACCAAAAATATCCAAACGAAAATTAAAGCAAAATGACGAAGACGGGTTTAGCGATACTCGAGGAACTAAAATTCGTAATTTCATTTTTTTATAACATATATTTAGCGAGATTTTGAATTCCCGTTTTATTTTATGTTAATAATATTTTTTTGTTAAGGTAAAAAAACAGAAGATGGACTACCAATTTATAGTGCTGAAGAATTGAAGTTGAATAATAAAGGGGGTGGAGGTGAAATATATATTTTTATTATTAATTTTCTTTTTCATTTGATTAACTTCTTTTTTATTTGATAGATACTTCTCAATGTCCTTTCGATTGTCACTGCTGTAAGTTATTTATCCACGAACAAATTTAGATTATTTGTATTTTTTATTAAATTTACTAATAAATTATTCTTATTAAGGTTTTTGAATTCTTGATTTTATTTTTATTGTAAATATTTTATTTGTCAAGTATCTTTTCCACTATCAAAAATTAAAATTCAATTCTTATTATTTGAGATAATAAAAATATGTTCAATTTTCATTACCGGATGGATTTTAATACATCAATAATAGACAGTACAACGTAAAGCTAATATTTCCTGCATGATTCTCAGAAGAGAACCAAGGCCCCATCAAGCAATGCCCGGGGAAATATTCTCCGGGCACTATTTTCATCTCTATCCATCAATTTCAGCAGCTGTATACTTCAGACTCTCCGATTTTCGTATAGGCCTCGTTTTGGACAATAACTCGGACTCCTAATTCCTCGGCGTTGGCGAAATCGAAAATGCGCCCAGCATAGCATCTTTCGGACCGTTGTTCGTGTGATCTTTCTTGTCTTACGACTCACCATGTCAGATACTTCAAAAAGGAGGAACGAAGAATCAGATACTTCAAAAAAGAGGAACGAAGGATCAGATCGTTTCATTCCGCAGTCGTATCCGAGAAATTGCCTTTTCGAGTCTTTTAGCTTTTCTTTGCTTTCGCTTTGAGGTCGATTGCGCAAGCTTGTCTTCAGCTTTCGCGGTCAGAGCCTGATCGATAGCTTCCTCATGTTAACAGGAGCTGAGCCCAAGCTGCCTCGTGAAAGCATGCCAAGACGGACGACTGCTCTTACTCACCTCATACGGCCGCCTTTTGGAGTTTGGCATCTTCTAGTTCGTTGGTGTCGATGCCAGCCCTCACGTCTGCAAAAAGTCTGCGCTTGTCTTTGGTGTGTTGAGCCTTTATCCACGCCTGCTGCATCGGACCGGTACGGCAGTCTGTGGTGTGGAGCCTCCAACGGACGATGACATTACAAGTATATTCCGCCATGCCCATCCAGCGCTTTAAGTTGCTTCTGAGGTTGATTTGGATATACTTTGATGAGTAGTGTGCGATTGATTGTATCATCCATCTTCTGGCGTTTGCCGCGGGCTGCTCTTGATTTTGCGCTTTTTGATTCCCGTATTTTCTTCTGTATCTAACTGATTGCATTTGACAGATTGATGGCAAAAATATCCTAGGTAAGTTCATGCTTGTTGGTGATCGCATTATCGAAGAGAAACACGTTTGTAACACGAAGAAGGTATATTGTAGGTCAAAGAAGCAGCTGCAGGGTCAGTCATGAAGGGTAACCATAATTGCTGAGATAGTGCTGCAGCTTGCTTGTTCAAGTGGGGGTTTAAATTCTTTGTACTTGAAGTTTGTGCTTGAGCTGATATTATTGGGGAGTTTGGCACTGAAGATCTAAGTGTAAAGGTAATAGGTGGAGGTGGCGAAAAAACATCGAAGTGATTTTCTTTCGTGATCCACTAAAGGCAGAAGCTACATTAGGAAATAATCAACAATGATTATTATTGTGAAAGTGGAGAATTTGAACGATTTGAGAGTATCTGTAACATTCTCAAATTGATGACGATTCCTAGGGAAAAAAGTTTTAATTGACTTGGAAATTATTTCTTTTGTTTGAATATTCTTGTTCTGGCTATAATCTCGTTGATTGGTTTCTTAGCTTGGCGTTGAATGTTGACATCGTTAATATATTAACGCTTTAGATTTTTCAGTTGTCAATCACGTGACTTGTCTCATTTTTGGTTTCAAAATTAACTACCCCATTTGCAAAATCCTTGTTCTTGATTCACCCGGATCCCTGTTCTTGATTCATCCGGATTCCTGTTCTTAATCCATTCCTGATCGGCAATAATTTTTAAATTCAAAAATCCTGTTTTTGATTCATCATGATCTGTAATAATTTTAAAAATTTTAAAAATTTCTATTCTTAATTCAGCTGTATTATAAATGTTATGAATGTGAAAGTACAATTTGTACTTGGTTCCTGATGATAATTTAATAAGAATGCACAAATTTTTGATCAATTTAGCAAAACAAATTTAATGAAAAATATGAAAAATACAAAATATAAATATTATTATCATTATGATATAGTATATAGTTATTTATTGATGCATTAGGACAAATAATCAAGTAGACAAGCATAATGTAGAAGTTTAATATTTATTCATGATAATGATATTTCTTTTATATAATAATAGTATTTGACAAAGAATAATGATTATTATAAATTTAATTGATTTATTATAGTATATTTCTATTGGATAGTTAGTTAATATGTGATTTATGAATCATAATCTTTTTTAGTTTATATTATTCTTTATATTTCATATTATTTATTTATATTTCATTTTATTTTAATTATATTTCATACTATTTTATTTTTATTTATATTATTTTCATATTATTATTAGTATGAAAGATATATATTAATCAATTTTTAAAGACTAAATTAACTTAATAGTAATTTATAATAAATAATTATATTGAAGCAAAAGATATAAAACATGAAGATAAACATTCAAGATAATTTATAGAATAAATTATATCTTATTTTAAATAGAATAGATTAGTCTTAGATTAAAAAGACTGAATTATTATAAATATAATATGTATCTCAACTTAAAAAAATGTGTAGAATTATTTAAAAAAAATATGAGATTATAAAATCATGTTCTTTAATAATATTAAATAAAATTTAATTGAGACTTATATTATATTGATCTTTTAATTATGTTATTTTAACAAGGAACCATTATTCATAATTTATTTATTAAATTATATTATTATAGAATAATATTTAAAAATATCAAGAGAGTATTATATTAAATTAATTTTTATATTGTTGATCTAAGAGAAATAATATTTTTTCTGTATTGATTAAAATTTTTTGAGAAGTTGTTATAAAACTGAAGAATATTTTATGCATGTGATTTATTTATGTTGCTTCACTACTTAAATTTTTGATGTTTGAATACTAAATTGATCTATTTATAAATATCAAGTAAACTTTATTTTTAAGTAATTGATTTTTGTTTTGGTTTCATTATTGTCACATATTTTCTGGAATAGTAATAATTTATTTATTTTGATCTATTATATTATTAAACTGAATTATTTCTTGGACTGGTGCATAATGAAGAGGTAATTATATTGTAAATTTAATGAGATAAGAACTAATAGAGAGAGGAATTCATTAATAATTAATGATCTTTTATTCTTGATTTATGATTTTATTTAAAATTAAGTGGATTTTTTTCCTTTATTAGTGTCTTTAATATATCTTTTATATTCTAATCATATTACTATTTTGCTATTTGTTTTTAGTAATTGATCCAAAAAAAAATATTTTCTATTTGAGTGAACTATGAATAACTTTATACAAGTTATGAAATGCAATAATATTTTCTATTGGTCATTCACCTTCTGAATATAATAATAGTGACCAATTTTTGTTTGGTGTTCTGACAATATTAATTTTTTTTTGTTATAATATTTATAATATTTGTTATTAAGTTATATTCAGATTTTGATTTTTTAATTTTTGAATATTCCAGTATATTAAATGTTGATTATCTTTGTTTTTGTAAATTTGTCAAATAAATATAGATTATAATAGTTATCAAATTATTATCATTAAGTCAGATTAATAATTTATTTATTTTGCTTTTTGCCTGTAGCTCATTAATATTAAGCAAATTATAACTTTTTGAATATTTTAGCAATATTGTTGGAAAAGTATTAAGCAAATATACTTTTTTCCTTATAATATTTGTAATTTTTCTTTTTATTAATTTATTGTCAAATTATTTATATATGTTAATATTGTTCTATATTTAATAGTTAATATTAGTATACTATTAAATATATAAATAAATTATTTATTTATTATCTTTTTTCTTGATAATATTTAATATAATTATATAAATTCATTATTAATCATATTAATAACTGTAGATAATTGATTATCTATTCTAATTCAAATGTCAAAATACTGAATACTTTGATTTTTGCTTAAAATCTTAATTAAATCTTTATTATTAATTCAGATATAGTGAAATTCTGATGTTCTATACAAATTATTTCTGTTTTTCAAAGTTAATTTTTATATTTGTTAAGTTGAATAATTAGTTAGCTTTGTTTAAGATTCTTTTAGCACTTTTTTTTGAGTTAGCTATTCAGTATATATCATCTATAAAGACAAGATAATTGATTGTGTATTTGATTTTTTCTTTTTCATTTGTGTTAATATTGAAAATTTATTTATTATTGATATAATATCCATCATCTTTATAATTTTCCTTGATTTTATACTGTTGTATAATGATCTTTCATTATAATATTTTATTATTGGATTATAAATATCTCATATATTATTGGATAAAGATCATATCACGTGAAGCGAGTGAACAA